GCAAGGGTCTCTATATAAGTAAAGTGTTCTGTACAAATTAGTGGCTAAGAGCACTGCGGTTTACGAGACATTGCCATTTACTCGATGGCACATGGTCGGGATGAGTGAGTTCTTGAAAACGTCAGTGTGGAATCTTGGCAGATTGAAAGGTGTTTTGCTACTCAAGCTATGTGAGTCTTGATGACTTTGGGGGAGTAGGGGGGCGAGACTATGGTTCGTTCGCGTCTTTTGCATAGAGTCTCTGAGTCCATAGCCACCTAGGGATTATTTAGACGCTTGGTGAGGCGCAATTGTTGACATGGTTCTTTTTTGAACACCCCCGAGGTCTTCACTTAATAATAATAATAATAATAATAATAATAATAATAATAATAATAATAATAATCAACTTTATTTAAAGAGGGTAAAACACATAACAGTATAAAACTGACAAACCAGTGGCCCTCTTAAAATATATTACAAATAATTATTGAAAAAGATTAAAAACTAATTAATTATGGAAAAAGATCAAGAGCTAAAAATCTAAAATTACAAAGTTATAAAAACTATAAGATAAAATGTTCCAATTTGTTTAAAGGCTGATTAGCGCTAACCCAGGGTTAAATTTTAATTCAGGTTTTTATATTTCTCTGTTCAAAGGCCGTTTTGGAATAATTTTCTCAATTCTTTTTGGAGCATTCAATCATCATATTGTATACCATCGATAAAAATTAAACTGAATTTTACTTTAAAGCTTTCAGATCTGAAATCAAGTTTCACGCTAACCCTGAATTATCTTAACTAAGTTTTGAACAATCCGGCCCTGGTTATTTTCATCCACAACAGGAAGCAAATGCTTTTAAAGTAAAATTAGAAAAAATACATGATAGGTTAATAGTCTAGAGCGAATGGAACAATGTAATATTTGACTTGTGGAGAAACGAGGGAATTTTAAACTATATGGACTCAAAACGCTTTATAACTGAGTCGCTGTTTTAAAAGTCATAATTTGCATCCTCAAGCAACGGGCTTCACGCGCCTGTTTAGTCTGTCAAGTTGGTCACACGATCCGAGCGGATCACGTGCAAAGTGCTCAAACAACAAGCGAAATCCTCGTTCTAATGACTTCGCGCGTAGTGCACAAGCAACAAGAGTATCCCTCGTTCTAAAAGCACTGCGCGAAGCGCACAAACAAAAGTATTCCTTATTCAAAACAACTAACACGAACAGCAAGTGTAGTCCTCGTTCTAGTAAAACGCACTGCGCAAAATGGACCAAAAAATGTAAACATGGAATGGTGTTTTCGAAGCCCTTGGGGCTGGAGGGCCGGGTAACAATGAAATAATTGCTTTTCTTCTTTCATTGGCGGCATTTATAATGAATTTCATTTTATATGAAATTTGTCACCTATAATTTATTATAAGTTGAAACTTCTACGCACATTCATAGAGTAGTGATGAATTAATTGGATGGGATGTCCTTGAAAACGCAACTTGGTGAAAGAGAAAGAATAGACAGTTTTATTGTCCCCAAATAACAACCAATAGTTACATGAACTATGTTTCAACTGAAAGCAAAATCGACGCACGTGTCGGAACACCGAATACAACCAACATGAAGAACCAACAAGAATACAAAAACAATTGGCTCCCTATCCTCGTACTCATTACTAAGAGGAAAGTGCTTTCAAGAATATTGATGATTGGAAACGAAATAACAAGTATTGACAACATTGTGTTCTAGCTGACGTAAAAGTTCAAGTTTCATCATTTTTCCGTAGTTCTACGGATGGCTGTCGAGCAGAGCCCGGTTTGCCAGAATCATACCGAAGTAAAACCAACGCCTCTCTTTTTGTTCGCAGTTATTTGCTATGATTTCTATTTGTCTTGATCTTTTGCAGCAGTTTATGCATCATTCCAGGTTTGCGACAGAAAAATCCACGGGTCGCTTTAAATCTGGCGAACAGTCATTTCCCTGAGAAAACAACATCAATTTAAAATATGAGACTCAAACAGATTTGCGTCTTTGATATGTTATCATTGATCCTGTTTTGATATCTTTTTTTGCCCATAACGGAGTCTAATGAGTGGTGATGTTTTTTTTTTTTTGTTTTGTTTTGTTTTTTATTTAATACAAGCGTTCAACTTCCCAGTCCCCAGTCCCCAGTCCCCAGTCCCAGGGAGTTCAAAGAGACCTTAAGCACGGCAACGGACGGCAACGCCGAGGAAGACGTCGACTAATAAATTGATTTCTACTTTTAATTAGAATTTCGAAAATAGCTGAGTTTGTTCATCGTCTCATACAGCGCCATGCCCCAACCTCAACATAACGTATAAAAGTAGCGTTGAGTTCCAAATGAAAATTATTATAACTTGCCGTCGCGGTTTCGGTTCGCAGTCGACGCAAATTTTGGTGATTTCACGTTGTTATTTTCAAAAGGATGGCTTAGAAATGTGCTTAAGGTCCCTCAAGCAACGACGACTGCGACGCCGTGAAAAACGTAGGTAAAACAATGAAATTCTATTTTACGGCTTACAATCTCACAATACCCTAATGCATTTAGTTTGTTTCTCACTGTCAAAACATCTCGAAGCTGAAAATGAAACATAGCATTAAATCAGAAATAGAAATTTAAAAAAGTTAACCGTCGTCGGTCAACGCAAGGCTTGATTCTTTCCCGACGTGGTTTTGCAGAGGACGCGAAGTTTTACAAAGATTTATATCACCATTTTTCTACTTATTAAGAGCGACTTTTTTTTCCAGACCGCGTGACAGGTGGGCACATCCATCGAAAAATGACTATCCTCATATTTCAGTCAGAGATGCCTTATTGTGAACTTAGAAACGTGGTATAAAGGTTTTTTTTTCCCGGACTTTCTTATTTATCGTAGAAAATTCACGAAAACTGAAACGAGCGTCGGTTATGGCGCGCCGAAGCGGACAAAAATACTTGTAAAGCTGAATTGAGTAATCAGAGCTCCTGGCCAGATTAAAAACCGGTTGTCTGTCTTTGAGTCGAAGAGCACGGAGAAGTGGCAGTATTCAAGGCTAGTTGGGGCCAAGAACAAGGATATCGGCACTGCCTCATATATCTATGTAACAACAAAATATTTCCACCAAAATAAAACTTGATACAAAGCTAATTTTCTCCCAAAATTAGAAAATTTGAGATACCGTTTGTTGCCATGTGAATGGCCAAGCAAGTTGTTTACGAATAAGTGTGTTGCCATATCTCCAAGGGATAAATATTAAATTGCTCTACCTAGTGATGGTATGCCAATCCCACAATTTGAGGTAATAAAGAAGGAAGCAATGAAAAAAGCGATTTTAATTATTTACTTGAACAGTGTATCAACCAACTCTTTCTCTTTCATGCAGCCATAAGAGCATACAAATCAACTTGTCTGTCCGCATCGAT